GGTAGTCTAACTTCATCATCTAAAAGCCTCTATTAAGATTTCAGTATGCTGTGTGAGCTGGTATGCATAGTCACAGTCTCTTCTATCCTCAACCTGATGTCTGCTTTCTCTAAAAAGCAGCAGGTGCTGATCTGTTTTCTCACTGATAAAATTCAGAGGAGTATACACCTATACATATGATCTCTTCACATTATCCTTTGAACAACCCAGCCTTTATATCCCTTTGTTAATGGTGATGTCAGACTGGCATCTGGTGCTGGAAGGAACATTTGATCTTTGGATACATAGGGCTCATGGAGCTCACTCTCAGATAAAATCTGAGATTTAGCTAGAGATTTATGATCCCAAATTCAGATTCCCGGTTCAGAATCCCAGATAGAATCTGGGATTCGGCTAGAAAACCAGACCATAAGCACATTAATAAATACTGGTCCTTTGTCTAGTGGGAGTTCAGGAGCATGGAAAGCCCATTCTCCTTGGGAAAGAAGTTGCGCAACAGGACAATTTTTGCAAAGGGGGTGTACTCTTGTATGATACACAGCTAATGTGGAAAACTGGGCATAAAAACAAAAGGGCTGAATTCAATGTAACACACCAGCAGTAATTCCAGACTGAAATAGTTTGGGACTTGATCAAAATCAAAATTTGCTTTCATGTCTTTAGCACTTCAGAAAATATTCCATATGATTTAATGTGGAAATCAGATACACTCTTTATTCATTTATTGCAATGTTCTCATGAAAACTTACGTTCTAAACTAAAAGCAGTGTGGGCTTAAAATATTGATGGACATTAGTTATGCACTATTTAAGTGAAGGCCTAGTATATGGATACAGGTTTTTTTCAGTATTAGTTTATGTGTTTCTCATATTTGTATTGTTAAAGCTGCAGCATCAAAATCGCAAAGATGTAAAACTTTTTGAATAATACCTCCACATCCAAAACCAAAAACCTGCTAAGCATTTTACTTCCATGGCAACTCTGATGTAAGAGGCTCTAAATAGCACTCTCAGTACATGACATTGTTTGTTAACATATGAAATTATATAATATTTTTCAGGTTCTTCCTTCTAACTGATACATGATGATTAGTGAAATCAATGACATAAACATCAATGAAAACTAACTTTTGCAAGATAATTTGATTCCATGTGAAATAATGATCTTTATAAGTCAAGATTAAAATAAAAAATATAATTCATTTATATTGGTGATATCATTATAAAGATATATGTTATTAAATTCTATTTGGTAATAATCTAATTCTATTAGAGTCTTTATGTTTCTATGATGCACAGCCTGTTAGATACTTAGGTGCTTTCTTGTCTACCTTTAAATAAAGGTAGATAAATAAAGGCCCTGTAATTCTAACTCTGTGTGCTGCTGAAGAGGTTTAAAAGTGAAACAACTTTGCCATGGAAATGTTATAACCCCACAGCAGTGGTTATTTGATGTCCATTTTGAGACAGTGGAAGAGCAATCAAGTGACACATAGCTTTCTCCAATCAGGCTCGTAGACTTCCACACTTTCTACTGTAAGTTACCTTTTCTGAATTAAAAGCAAAAAGTC